AATTACGCTAAACGACGGGATAACTTATCGACTCCCGGTTGGCAATGATTTTGCTTCCACGCATGCGCGACCGCGCCATTATTTTTGATCACATCTCGGAAGGGAAAATATTTATAATGCCATCGGCAAAAAGAAAGAAAGGAAGTAAAAAAAAAAAAAAAAAAAAGAAAAACGGAACAACAAGGAGAGCGTACAAGGATAGAAGGATATACGAGATATGGCGAGAGAAGATGGCGAAATTGTCGGCGTTTCACGAGCGATATACAAAAGGCACGCTTCCGTCGCGATAAAAATTTCTAGAAGGCGTAATTGCTTGGTGTCGATTAATCGGTAATCGATGCGTGGATCGAAGCGTATACGCCATTAATTACCGGTTTTTCATTTATTAATTCGCACAAGGCGCGATCATTTATGTTCCAACCCTGGGACCTGTCCGATGGCGCCTTTAATTAATTATTTTTTCACGGGTGTATTTTGTTACGGGGCCCGGAAGAAAATGGCGGCATGTAAGACGCGTGCAACGTGCGCAGAAATCGAGTACGACAAGACAAGATGGAGGAGACTAATTCTTAAATTTGACCAAGATCGATGTTTAGCGGGGGGTTAACCCCCTATCCTCCTCCTCCGCCCCTCCGATGGTTTGCAACAGCGTCGTCGGTACGCACACGCATATTTATGGAATATATGGTAATTCCATCGTTCGCGGATATTAAAGGAATCATTTGTCTGATTTAATAACGCGCTGGCGGGTTTGGTCACGGTAGAATGTTAATTTACAATAATTATTGTAATTTATGGTAATGGCCGTTATCTTCTTACGGTGGTCTCGAAACACACCGTAAACTGAAGATCGCGACACCGATGCGCCGATTTGCATAAAGGCTAAAGACTAAAATAACTTTCCATCGAGAGAGTTACATTTTCGATGAAACGAAGATACGCTGTAGAAAGAAAAAAGAAGACGAAGAAGAAGAAGAAGAAGAAGAAGAAGAAGAAGACGAAGAAGAAGAAAATTCACGATCGTGGAGAGATCGTGGTAGTAAATCAAATTGACGTATGTGACGCGAAATATGTATGCATATACGCGGAACGAAATAAACGAAATAAAGCGAATCTTTCCCTTTGTGTCGCAGAATGCTGTCATCATCCGGTCAAGACGGTCAGTCCAACAGTTACTCGCACGGTAATGTCGTTCTTCAAGGTGCACCCTGCGGTCAGTGTCGAGATTTATGCCCGGCTGGATACGTGCCCCACTTTTGGCGGTGAGTAATCAGACATGTTTCGCATATGTGTTGCTATCCAGCAAAAATCGCGGTTGAGAACTTGACGTTGTTGTTTTGACGTGCTGATCAAAAGCACTGCAGTGTTCTCGACGAAAGTGCAAGCACACTTGTCGTAAATTATATCGTAGCAAAATAACGCGAGAAAGCGTTCGATTCGCATAGTGGTTTTTCAATGAAAGCGAAATGAATGACACGCTCCACCTGAGAAACGCTGCCCGAACGTTTTTTACCCTCTGAGCAGAGTTATTATTACACGGCAACATAAACGATTACGAGAAATTCCCGATCAATGACCACGCGTATGTATCGGTTATAGCGAGAATTGAAGACGCACGCGATGCTTCTTTGATTTTCCCCGACCGGTGATACTTGTCGAAGAGGAAAAGTAAAACGTTCTGAACGAAAACCGGTGAAACCTGGTACATTTTGTTGCAGTGGAAAAAAAAAAAAAAAAAAAAAAAGATCTGGAAGATAGATAGCATCGAGAAAATTATCTCGAGCCGAGGCAAAGAGACAAGACCGGAGATGCAGGATTTGCGTCGGCTTAGCCTCGATCGCTAAAATGAAGAAGCGCGTCGTTCCATCAAGGTGACCAATCTTCGTATTATCGGTGCGTGAACTGGTCTCGTGACGCTTCGTTGATAATGTGTAATATTGCCCGATCCTTTCGTAGAAACTTTTTATTCGACTATATATACAAGGAATTGCTTAATGCAAATGATGCTGGAAATATAAGTACATAATGGTAACAAGTATCGTTCAGAGAGTAAATCTGGACGACAGTTGGCAACTATCTTCCTGTTATGTCTGTTCACATTGCTGATAGGTTAGATATTTGATCGTATAGAATATAGACATTTGCCTTCTTCTTCTTCTTGTTCATCTGTACATGCGTTTGCATACAAAGTGATATAATAATTGACTTTAGTGATACGTTATGACTCTCTTTTGATTGCTTTTCATTGCTCATCCATGAATATGAATAAAGCAACAATATTTGCTTCAGTCTCTGTTGGCATCATCTCACACAGATGCTTTCTATACATCAAAATTTTATTTCGTTACTTGGACTTATATTGTTTGGATAGTCGCTTCTTTATCGATCTTGTCACAAGTTCACAGTCGAGGTAGCGTTGTTGTTCTTCAGAAAGAATTGCAGAAAATTTCAGCAACATATATTACTTTATTAAAAAATATCTTCGAACTCCAACGCTAAAATTTCCCACCATTCTACCTCCCCCCC